ACAGCACTATACACCCCTATACAGCACTATACACCCGTCTACAGCACTATACACCCCTATACAGCACCATACACCCCTATGCAGCACTATACGCCGAAACACAGCACTATACACCCCTCTACAGCACTATACACCGAAACACAGCACTATACACCCTTATACAGCACTATACAGCACTATACAGCACTATACACCCGTCTACAGCACTATACACCCCTATACCGCACTATACACCCCTATACAGCACTATACACCCCTATACAGCACCATACACCCCTATACAGCACTATACAGCACTTTACAGCACTATACATCGCTATACTCTTTCTCATCAATTAATACAAATCTAGAGCCTTTGTCTTGTATACGAATCACTGCATTAGAATTGTTAAGTTCTTTAAGCGCCACCCGTTCTTTTTTAGAAAGGTTATCTCTAGCTTGTCTAATGTTTGTATTAATTGATGAGAAAGAGTACGAGGAAAAAATGTTTGGTCAGTTCAACAACCGGTTACATTATAAATCTTTGCAATCGGAACCTACCTCTAAGCATTTGGCATTAGTAGAGAGTTGGTGTTCTAAATAGCTAGGAAAGGGTGAGATTTCTCCCGAAGTAGCTAGGAGTTGCCTTTGGAAATATCAAAACGCACAAAACGGGCAACCCGCTCAGGCTTATTACATCTTGTTGCGGCACGGCAATTGAAAACTTATCGGCCTTTACAGAATTCTATTTACAACCACTTTCCCGAAAATTACCATCGTTTATTAAGGACACCACCGATCTACTTAACAAAATAGAAGATCTAAATACAAGCGGCCCCTTTCCAAATGGAACCTTACTGGTCTCGTGGAACGTGGTTTCAATGTTTCCTAACATCGATAACAAACTCGGCGTCACTGCAGTGAGGAAGGCTTTGAATGATAGAGAAAACAAATTTCCATCCACGACTTGTATTTTAGAAGCTGTAAAAATTTGTTTGAAAAGTAACCATTCTGTTTTTAAGGAAAGTTTCTTTCTTCAAATCGATGGCACAGCTATGGGTCCAAAGAATGCTTGCAGTTATGCCGACCTAGCCATGGGCGAAATTGATCTCAAAGCTAAGTTTTCTGGTCCGATAAAGCCGTCCTTATGGTGGCGGTATCGAGACGATGTTTTTGATCTTTGGCAGCAAGGCCTTCCTGCCCTACATCAATTTACGGATTACATTAATTCTCTGTATCCTACCATTAAATTTGAGTTAGTTTTTTCTGAGCGTGACCTTCACGTACTGGATCTTACTTTATATCTTATCGATGGGTTTATTAAGACAGATGTCTATTCCAAACCTACAGACAGCCACTTTAATATCTTCCGCCTTCTAGCTGCCATCCTAAAAATGTTTTCAAGGCTATTCCTTTTGGAGTAGCCACAAGATTAAAAAGAAATTGCTCGGAGGAAATTTTTCTCGCCG